CAGAATTTCATATACCTAAATTCTCTGATTGAGGAACTCTCACAAAAACACCAGCATATCCATCACAGTGGATATGGTATACCAGATGACTTGAAATTGCTCTCATTCCAATGCCTCCATGTTTAAGAGTTTATTACAGAAGCACACCAAGACATGTATATTTAGAGAAGCTAATACCATTGTTGGTGCTTGAGTTCCATAGATAAGGGAAGCTCCCCAGGCAGGAACTGACTTTCCTCCAAAGTAGTTTCAGTACTGATTTAATTGCTGCATTTCACATTATCTATGGCCTGGAGAACGCTAAACGCGAGGTCTCGCAAGATGCAGCAGTGTAACTTTACACCAGACAGTCCTAAAATACTGCCCTGTGTTCTCTCATGGAAAATCAGGCTCCAGGAGTAGGCTGCAGGGACAGCCCCGGTCTGCTCAACAACAAGATGGCAAAAGCAGTCTGTCAGGACTCCTGCCACGCACACCTTCCAGAAGCAAACGCTTGCCCAAGGCTGCTTAACAATTCCAGCTCATTTTCTCCATGTGCATTTGCAACAAAAGCCAAACAACATATACGTGACCTTACTTGTTTGAATATTAGTATCGAAGACTGTCCCATCCTGTAGTTTTCCTGTATACCAGCAATGAACAGTGTCTCCTTTCTTCGGAAAGTTGGTTTTATCACCCTTCTTTAAAATTGATTTTGTATACTTTGGCGGCCCCTAAGTTTATAAAAACAGACTTATGACTGCAGCATTAACTAGTCTCAGACCAACTACATTCAAAACCAAACAACCACTTAGTTCAAGGCACTGAATAAGCACATGCAGTGCTAGTGAACGGCACGCTTTAAAGCGTTCACACGTTATTGCGGTGCTGTAATATTTGGGGAAAATACAGCAGCACAGGAGCAGATTTCAGCAAAGGCTGAAGCTCTGGGAGACGCAGTGGGCCCATTGCTAATTCAAGTTACAGAAGCTGCGGAAAGTTAAGGCACGGTACAAACACCAAACCTCTTGCTGTTAGCAGGTTTTTGAAGACCTGGCTAACTTGGCCGCCCCGTGCCCTCGCCCAAACAACGCGAGGCGCGGGTGCCGCACCGACCTCCTCCGCGGCCTCCTCGGGCTTCGTCGCTTTCCCCTTGGCCTCCTCTGCCTTCGCGGGCTTCGCCTTCTCCGCCGCCTTCTCCGCGCCGTCCGTGCCCTTGAA